AGAGAGAGAGAGAGAGAGAGAGAGAGAGAGAGAGAGAGAGAGAGAGACAGAGTCTGACCTGACTTGTCTATCCTATCACATAGAGCATGTGGTCTTGCACACCAGTGAGCAGAGGAGAATTCCAAGTGAAATGCAGCATTTACATCTGAGCAGTCATCCTTGTCCAGCTCTTCATTTTACAGTTGTTTCCATCCTGGCTCTGGCAGAATCAGCATTTGTTGTACCTCTGACTATCTCATTTCTGCCTCCTGGCCCCCAGCACCCAGCATCCCCTCATTTAGTCTCTAAGTATCTCCTCCCCCAGGCTACAGGCTCATCTCACTATAAATGTATATCTCAAGTTATCAGTTTGGCATGGTCCCCACAGCCACCCACAAGAACCAAAGCAAAGAAGAAAAACCCAAATCACTGCAGAGCTCAGAATTCAGTCATTTGGAGGAGTTTATTTTATATAGAACAATTTTAATTGAACAGAAACCTAGGGTCCCAGAGGAGATTCACCTACTTTTTTTTCCTTTTCGTCTGTTTGATGGTGCCTATCATTATTCTATCTTCATTCACTTTAATTATTTTGCAGGATGACAGAACCTGAAAAACTCCTGGAAATTTGTAGTCTAAGGGTCTCTAAAATCACATGCAAAAGAGCTACCAAAGGCTATCTATGTGAAGAGGAAGAGAAGTACATATTGAAATATGTTCATATCTACACACACACACACACACACACACACACACACACTTCAACATGGGTAATGGCTAAACTACGATGCACACTATCTTTTATGCCCAGATTGCAGCACAAGCCACAAGTTGGAGCCTCGTTCCCACTCCCAGCCTCTCGTCAGTAACTGCAGGTGAGAATCAGAGTCTCTTTTGCCTCAGCTGTACAATCCAACATGAATAGCTGCAATTTGCAAATTAGAGAAAAATGACAGTGTTTTCTCTGAATGGTTTTAGTCCCAACCCACACTGCTCACGCTAGCATTAGTTGCCATCCCTCCCCAGCTAAGGGAAGGAGGGCAAGGAAGTAGAAGAACAGACATTTGTTCCTTTGCAAGTTGCCTCAGTTTTAAATGCTACTGGAGGAGAAATCAGCCTCGCTCCAGTCCTTTGCATGCTGTCCCTAGCTTCATCTGCAATGACTTTCTTAATGTGGATATTTCACTCTTTTTCACAGACATAGGCCCAAGTGGGATGATGTCCATGCTCCCATCCAAGAACAACTCAGGCAGAGAAATAACATTAAAGTGCTCAGTGCAGAATAAGCACTCCAACTCTCAAAGCTTGGGGGAAAAAAAACCAATAGACACACACAGACACACAGACACACACAGAAAGAGAGAGAGAGAGAGAATGAGAGAGAGAGAGAGAGAGAGAGAGAGAGAGAGAGAGAGAGAGAGAGAGAGAGAGACTCCTCGGGTATTATATCAACTCATCTTTCCATTCTTTCTGCAGCCAAGGCTCCCCACCCCAAGCTGCCAAACGTCAAGCTCAGAGGTGACAAAAATCTTTTTAATTTTCATGGCAAAAGCCCAGGCTGTTCGAGAATTCAAGCAACCTAGAGTGAAGTCTGCCCTCAAATCACTTTCAGAGAGTACAAGCAGCAAGAAGTCTTAGGGCAGGCACCTTTCAGGAGCCACTGGTATGCTCCAGTGAACAGAAGGGACTCACTAGCTTCAGGTGAGCACTTCTGCTGCTTGAGCACAAAGTTCCGTCTCCTGGAGATGATGCATCTCCTCTGCTGGCCTGGCTATCACCAGTCCCAGCCAGTCCCTCAGAAAACTCCTGCCCAAAGGGAAAGCATGTGAGCAAGAGTCACTTCTTAGACTTGGGCAGCACAATCTGCAGGGACCATCTTGCACATCTAAGGGAAGCAGCTGGCTGGATCTGGTTACCACAAACAGGGAACAAGCCCTGGGTTAAGAAAGTCATACCCAAACTGACTTGAGGCAAGAACTTGAGTATGAGAAAAAGAAACAGAGGTTGAGAAATGCCTATGAGGAAGGGAAACCAAACAAGGAAATAGAAAGAGAAGCATAAGGACACCTTGTCACAGAGTTTCCTGAACTCAGTGTCTAACCATCAGAGCTATCCATTTTACCCAGTGCAGTAGAGGAGACAGAGGCTGCAGGGACCAAAGGCAGAGCACTGCGGTTGGACCCACTGCTCATCAGTCCTAGATCCGATCCGCCTTCCTCCTGTTTTTGAACCCAGGGGATGAAACCTGCATAACCTCTTTAGCACACCCACTGTTCCTGGGCAGAGCAGGCTCAATTTCCCAGATCAGAGCCTGGGATTCTGGGTGTGGGGCTGCGTTAGTGAGGGAGGGGGACTAGGAGCGCAGGGAGCAGTCAGTGAAAGCGATTTTATTTCGCAGTTAGCATGAGCTCATCCCCAGCTGAGGTCTGAAGTGGCAGCAGAAAGCTAGCTGATCGCCTAGCTCCTGCCACTGGCCGGACTGCAAATGCAATTTAGGCGGTGCACAAAATTGCCGGGAGGAAACCAACTCAGGGGGATCACGTCAGCAGGCGGGGTCTCCCTAGTGGGGCGGGTACCCCCGTGCCTCTGATGGAGACCGGCTACAGGTCGGGAATTCAACCCCAAAGAGATGGGCAATTATCATCCACATGCGGGTAAACCCCAACCCTCATTTGAAGAAGGGGCTTCTTGAGGTCTTCGAGAATATTTCCATGGAGTCGAGATTTCCTAAGTGGCTTGGGCATGGGAAGCTGGGGAGTTGAGAAATGCCATTTTCAAAGCATCTTCTAATTTTTCATATTCTTTGTGCCTAACCTGCTCCCCTAGGAGCCCAGGCACTTTTACAAGCCTGTTTCCGAACCATATTTCACTCTAATGCAAACCATTTAAATCATCGCCTTGTTTTTCCGAAGATTGCTTCTTGTAAATGGGATCATAAATCCGGGGAGTCATGCCGTATGGAGTGGAGCGTGGACAGGGGAAGACATAAAAAGAGGAGTAAACTAAGCAAGGAAGATACCTCCTTGGGTGGGGTGGGAGGGATTCGGCAGGATCTCCAGGGTAGAAATGTCGGAGTGCTGGCCTGACCCCTGCAACCCATGAAGTCCAAACCAGCTTTTAAGGTTAGAGCGCAGGGAGCCACAGAATGCTCCTCCCCAAAGGGAGCGCCCCCCTACCTGGAAAAGCCTCAAGATGTTGGCTACCATGATGGAGACGGAGCTCCCCGAAGCCCCAATCACTCCAACTACTTTCTCTGGCTTGACGAAAACCGGGGGCTCTCCGTTGGTGCAACGCACGTCGGAGGTGTCCTTCTGGATAAGCGCCTGGACGAAAGTGAGCGACTGTTCGAGCGCATAAGTGTCCCTGGAACAAGTGTCCAGGATCCGCGCGCCTAACGTTACGTTGGGCAGCAGGTTGGGATCGCTGTTGATCTGGTCCAGGGCATAAAGCATAGCTTCCAGCCTGTGGATCCCATTCTCCCTCTTGATGTCGCCGCAGGGCACTCCGCTGGGACCCTTGGCGTGCACTGGGAACAGCCCCCCAAGGGTGACGTCCCCCTCGATCCGGATCGAGTGCGGGGCGTACATCTCCTGGCCGCGCGCCGCCGCCGCCAGCACGCACAGGAGCACCTCCAGCACGCAGCAGGGGAACTTCATCAAAGTCAGGACGCGGAGCAGCTTCCCCAGCTGGACCATGCCGCTCCGGATGCAGCTGCGGTAGCGGCGGCGGCTCTGGAGGGGATGCTGGTGGACTCTCCTAGGTACGGGCTTCTCGAGGTGAGCTCCTTTGGGGGAAGCCCGGGACTTCTGTAGGCACAGAGGGTGGAGGAGACCGAGGAGGTGCAGCAGGAAAGGTTGAGGGGGGTCCCAGGGCGTCAGCTAGTCTTTGGCACCTAGCACTGAGGATCTGCTGGCCCGCGCACCAGCTTGCGCTCCTGGTTCCCTGGCTTGCGGCTCGCGCTCTCCAACAGCCAAGCACTGGGGAGAGGGCAGGGATTGCTATCGCTTTAAATGGTCGTTGGGCTCCCTCTCCTCCTCCTCCTCCTCCTCCCACTCCCTCTCTCCCTCCCTTGCTTGCTATCCATCTCTCCCCACCCTTCTCAGAGCCCGCCCTCCCCATCGGTTTGCATCATCACGCAGGGAGGGGCTGCGTGCTGAGGTAAGGGGGGGCGGGTGGAGGAATGGGTGGGTGGCCCGGAGCCGGGAGGTTGCCTCTTCAGGGGAGTTTCGTGGTCCCCAGGGAGTCTGTGGATTTCAGGATACTCATAAGGGCTAAGCGTCCCCAACTCTGAGATGGAAACCTCAGGTCCACCAACACCCACGCCCATGTTCTAGGAACTGCAGACATCCACTTGGGATGAGCCGGGATGTTGGTGCTTACTGATGGGGAGCTCTGAGTCTGATCCTTGACTGTCAGCTCTAGCAGAAACCTAGGGAGTCCAGAAGTGGAGCAGCCCATGAAAGGGGACAGGAGGAGAGGAGATCCCAGTTTTTAAAGCTAGCCCTCTTGTGCTAGCTATGCTCAGAATAATACAGGACATTCTGGAACGCGATTCTTGACTAAAGTCTTTAACCAGAGGCTTCTCTAGCAGTAGGCACCCCCTATCTTGGAGGGAAGCTGAAGCTAGGAGGAAATCTAGGGTGGTAACCTACCCTCGATCTTCTTAAGGGCCAAGGCTGGCGGAACTAACCACGTTCATCAGCAGGTCTGCGGAAGAAACCTCTGAATCAGCCAGTGCCTTTTCTCTTTTGCAGCAAGAGAAGAAACTAAGAGACTCCAGTACTTTCCTCCGTAGCGTTGACAGGTGTACCGCTCCCTCCTACCTCTTTTCAGAGATACTCCTGAGTTGGTGACAGTTTTTCTTTGCAGTTAAGAAACAGCAGGAAAGTGGCGAGGGTTGAAGGAAGAAAATGAAGCTGGAAAAGTCTCTTCCAAGATGCGAATTCCATTTTTTTTTCTTTTGCTGCCACAAGATTTGGGGAACAAAGCCAGAATGCTTAGGGAAGTTCCACTGCAGAAGGGAAAGTGCCCTTGCTGAAACTTAGCCCATTAATGCAACAAGTGTCCTTAGCTTTGTTACAGGGAAATTTAAATGATCTCTGGGACCTTACTTCAACTGTTGGTGATGTTTTCTGCTGCAGTATATAAAAGCTATATTGTACAGATGTGAGGCTGGTGGAGAGAAAGCCAAAAACAAGAATATGCTTTCTTGGGTTGATGGAAAAACTATTATTGGACATAATATATAGTGCTGTCATCTTGCCTCTAACACCAACTACCTGTGTGTCCTTGGCGTTTCAGTGCCTCTGCCTGAGTTTCAGTTTTCCCATCTGGAAAATGATGAGATTGAGTTGGATGTCTTCCAAGTTGTCTTTTAACTAAAATCCTTTGTTAAAATAGGTCATGTCCCTTTGGCTACGGTGCTCTTTTTAGGCTAATATTCTCTGTTGTTTTATGCATAGGGAACCAGAACAAAATCTTCAGAACCCATCATCAACCTTCACGGGCACTGAGGAACTTACGTGCTAGGTCAGGTGTTTCTACTGAGCATCTGTTCTTCTCCCACATAGAAATAGCTTATCACTTTTGTTTGTTTGTTCCTCTCTATTTCAATGCTTGTGGTTTGAGAACTAAATCCTCTCCCTATAATGTAAGTGTGGCTTATTAGTTCATATGATCCTTCTAGCCATAGTCCCATGGACAAAAGAGAGAATAAAGGTCAGCCAGAGTCCGGTAGAACTCATTCTTGTCTTTGGTGGGGAAGCCATAACAGATACTGGGGCTGGGGGTGGGACAATCACTGAACCTGGTGATGTCTCTATAGAGTAGAAAAAAATATGTCCTTCTCTCAATGCCTTCATGTCTCTCTTTTGGAAAACTATTATGCTCTTCTGATTTTCTAAGTGCAAGATATTTTACTGTCATCTTCTACAAAACTGTACTGTGATTCATATGCAAATTATATACAAAATGCATATCAGTCACCCACAGTCTTGATTCCTTACTACACCAATGTACACCTAGCATAAATTTGTGCCATGGTGGTCCCTGCAGTTTGCTGCCACTCTGTAAATTGAATTGAATTGTTTGAATCTCAGACTGAGGTAGAGGACAAGGAAGACAGAGATGAAGAGGGGTGTGATAGAGTGGACATGGACAGAGATGATCTGGATTGGGAAGAGGAAGGAGGAAAAGAAAGAGCCAGAGAGATAATCAGGGAAATGGATAGAGAAAAACACATAGAAGCAGAGGGATAGAGAACCATCTCATTAAAGTACTTGAGACCTCCCCACTTCCCTAGATTCAGGCATACTTGAAATGCTTCTAGGATTTTCCACTTACATGGTGTTTTCTTTCTATTGTTTGAAGTCAAGAGCAGTCTTTTACAACTCTTCTATTATAATGCCCTACGTCAGAATGCTGAATGAAATAGATGGGATAAGGATTGTAAATATGGAATTTTCAAAACTGAAAAAGAAGAAAAAAAGCAAATGAAACAACTGAAAGGAATACAGTAGGACATGGAGACAAGGACCCTAATTTTAAATACCAATAACTTGGGCTGTCTTTAGTGAATATGGAATCCTTCTTTTATTTTGAACTTAATGCTATGCTTTAGAGAGTTGCTACCAAATGGTACTCAGAGATGAGTTAGAAGTAATCACCACACATATATTCCTCCATTCTCTCCCATTCTCCTCTCACATCCCATGATAGTCTCATGAATATCTTTAAGCCATCTGCGAAATGCTGCCCCATCCTGTGGGTGTTCTCTTGTGCTGGCTAGTTTTATGTAACCTTGATAGTCACTAGAGAGGAAAGAGCCTCAATTGAATTGGCTCCATAAGACTGGGGAGGAGGCAAGCATTACTAAAAGGCATTTTCTTAATTGGTGATTGGTGTGGGAGTGCCAAACCCATTGTGGGTAGGGCTATCCCCCAGTATGTGGTCCTCAGTTTTATCAAAAGGGAGGCTGAACAAGCCTTGAAAAGCAAACCAGCACTCCTCCATGGCCTCTGAATTGTCTCTTGCCTCTAGCTTCCTGCACTGTTTGAGTTCCTATCTTGACTTTCTTTAGTGATGAACTATGATGTAGAAGCATAAGCCAAATAAACATTTTCTTCCCCAATTTGCTTTTAGTCATGGTGTTTCATCACAGTAATAGTAACCCTAGCTAAGAGCCCTGTTCTCTCTGTGCATTCTCCCTAAACATCTGGCAACCAGTATTATATCACTTGTAGTAAGCTATTTGTGTATATGTCTGATTTTTCTGCCAAGTGTTAAAATCCTTAGGGGTAAGAGCTGGAGTGTTATTTTTCTCTTCACCCAGGACAATGTTTCCAATGATGTCTGTGTCTAAGTTTCACTCATATATTGAAATGAATCAGAACTTGTTCTTGCACTCTGAGTTGTCTTTACCGGGCAGTGACCAGAATATAAAATGGACAGAGAACAAATATGAGTACATATGTTGCTCAGCTCTTAGTCACTATACACAATTTCTGGACTACAGTGGAAAATAGATGTTCTTTAAAATACTTTCATTTAGAAAAATATAGAAGTCTGAAACAGCCTTAATTAAGCACTTGATAAACTTCATTAAAGTATAGATTGATTCTTCAGGAGTTAAGACCTCAGTTTTGGACCAATAACTGAGCCAGCTGCCATAGGCTGCCTAAAGGAGATAAGAGACACTAAGTTCCTTTTGGTAACTAGACATTAGCATCCCTGAACTATGTAGAAAGTAAAATCTATTACCAGAGAAACTACATTTGATACTGAGTTTACAGAATCACTGTGCATCTGGAACCCACCGTATCACATTTATTTTCATATATGAAGCCACAGTGGAGGACCCAGCCCTTTATAGTAGGCATTCTATTTTTCATTCAAATTATAAACTAAAATCTCCCTGTAAGAATTGTTCTGGTTGAACTGGGATAACTATTATTCTAAGGACAGGTTTAACTGAAGGAGAATCTCGCTTTGGCCACAGAATGTAGCTTTGGTACATTATAAAACATGTCTGCAGCCTTGATTCTTTTTTTTTTAAAGATTTTTTAAGGTTTATTTTTATTTTATGTATGTGAATACACTGTAGCTGTCTTCAGACACACCATAAGAGGACATCAGATCTCATTACGGATGGTTGTGAGCCACCATGTGGTTGCTGGGAATTGAACTCAGGACCTCTGGAAGAGCAGTCAGTGCTCTTAACCACTGAGCCATCTCTTCAGCCCAGCCTTGATTCTTTTTAATCATCCATCTTTACTCATGGCTTCATTAAAAAAAAAGTCAAACAAAACATTAGAGTTCCTTCCTATTTTTGTTTAATCTCCAAAGTTTTTTAGATTTTTAAAAATTTTATTTTATGTATTTGAGTTTGTATTTGTACAATTGTATTTTATGTATTTGTTATGTTGCACTATATGTTTGTGTACTACATGTATGCAGTACTAAGTGACCAGAGAAGGACATTGGATATCCTGGAACTGGAGTGATGGGTGGCTGTGGGCTACCACATTGGTGCTGGGGAAAGAGACAAACAAACAAACAAAAACCCTCTAGTTTTCTGCAAGAGCATAAATTTCATCTGTTTTGTTCTGATTCCACTTTCTATCAATCCTACTTACTATGTGGGAAATTTCCTTTTACTTTTTAATTTTTGTCTGTTTACATATGTCTGTATATATGCAGGCCAGAAGAGGGCATTGTTATCTTCTGTAGCTGCCACTGCAGGCAATTAGGAGTCAACATGGGGGCTAGGACCCACACCTCCTCAGGATTAGCAATAAGTCTTAGACGTTGAGCCAAAACCCCAATAACTCTTCTGTCTATATTTAAATCTAATTTGTAATATAGCAGGCTACCATTAATTACTGCTTCTTTTACCTATAAGTGTGCATATGTATGTATAGGTAGTGCCTAGAAGAAGCTGTCAAGTTTGGAACTGGATTTAAAGATGATTATAAGGTACCTAATGTGCCTGTTGGGATCTGAACTCAGGTCATCTTCAAAAGCAGTAAGTCCTCTTGGCTGTTGATGCATCTCTCCACCCCTTAATACCATTTCTTAAGCTAAAACACTGTAAA